CATTATTCAGTAATAAAAAGGAACAGCTGCAGATAATACAACAGCATGCATGAACCTCACAATTGTAATGCTGACTTAAAAAAGGCAGATAAAATACAATACATGTCATATGATTCTATTTTTATGAAATCCAAGGAAAAGCAAAACTAATCTAGGATGTCAGAAATTAGAAAGTAGTTGTTCACTAAGGTGGTGATTGCAGGGGGGCATGACAAGGCTCACAAAGCAACTTTCTGGAGTGATGGAAATATTTACATCTTGTTTGGAATAGTGGTTCCTTGAGTGCATACATTTGACAGAAGTTATCAAATCCAACACTTACCTGTGCGTTTTAATGTATATAAATTATATTTTAAGAAATATAACAAAGAATTTATTTTCATGCTTGCTTGTAAATACATATTAATTTCTTGAAGGACACAAAAGAAATTGACATTAACTGCTGTGAGGTTTGGGGAGAAATGGACACAGGGAGGCCTGAGATGGGAAGGAGATTTCTCATTGTACAAACTATTTCTTTATTTTCTTGTTTTTGAAATATACGAATATATTACTTATTCAAAAATAAATACATTTTTAAAACTAAATATGTTTAAAGCTGAAAGTTTAATATTAAACCATTACTTGTTCCAGTTATCCTGTATTTGTAATTTACATAACTATCCACACAGTTATGCCATTCAAAGTCCCAAGAGTTATTCTTGCTTCCCCACCTCTCATATCCGGACCATCAACAAGTCTCTTTGACTATTTCTCCAAAATATACCTTTGGTATAAATTCTTTCCTCCATCTCCTCTTCTACCTCCTAGCCTAACCTACCATCATCTCTCGTCTATAGTATTTCAAATGCTCCCTAACTGGTCTCCTCACCTCCACTGTTTACCTTTATAACCCATTCTTTACTAGTATCCAGAATAATCTTTTTAAAAATGAAGATCAGATAGTGGCACTCCTCTGTTTATAATCCTTCAAATAGAATGATGACCAATTGCCATTTGGTCTATATCTGGCCCTTCCTCTTGCCTTATACCTTTTTTTCCATTTGCCCACTGTTCTCTTGCCACACTGGCATTTTTACTTCTTCCTCCTCCTTTCTGCTTCTTGATGCACCACCCGCTTCCTGCTTCATGGCCTTTTATTAACTCTTTCTCCAGATCTTCACATAGTGGGCTTATTCTAGACATTCAGATCTCAGTTGAAATGCTGTCTCCTCAGAAAGGCTCTCCCTGGCCAGCTCCCCTAGAATAGCAGTCTCTTCCTCCGTTTCTTTCTAGCATGTCACTCTGTTATATTTCTATCATCACACTCATCACTATCAGGTAGTTTCTCTCTGGTGTGTTTGTTTATTGTCTCCTCCATGCATTAGAATCTAAAATCCCCAGGAACAGGAACGTTTTTGTCTTGTTCAGTGCTACCTCGCGGACACTACAATACAACCTGGTTCGTGATTTTAGCTTCTCACATTATCTAAAATGATAAATTTTTTCCCATCAGGAATAAGAAGTCCCCATTCTGAGGACTAGTTTAGATCAACAGGTTAATTTGTGGTAAACATAAGGAAGCAAGGTCCGTGATTACATCTACAGTTATGAAAAAAAATCACATTTTAAAAAGTCTTTGATGGGTATAGAGACTATAGCATACTCCAAGATGGGGATTTTTCTCTCCATGTGTTTCCCCACATATTTCACTTTTTGTGTTTCTTTTTTAATAAATAACTTTCTTTTATCTGTCATATTTATTTGTATATATGATTTTACAGAATATGAATTTCTATGCCTCTCTGTCTTTTCATGTTCATTTCCTATTTTCCTAATACAGTCTTTGCATTTGTTCCTGTTCTTTAATTTCCCCTTCCTCTTTACATTTTTACCTTTATAAATTTGTGTATCTCTTTCTCCCTCTATTTTTCCCATTTTCTACTCCTCCTACTTCTCTTCCTCTCAACTGGACATAAATTAGAACAAAATATGTTTGATTATGCATTGTATTTATTTTAAAAAATTTATGTTTTGTATTTTAATTTTTAAAATGGAAAAAAAATCAAGTCTACTAAAATTTAAATGATGTTGCCTTCTACTACATGATTCTTCATTATTTTTCTTGTGTTTAATAATATTTAATTGAAAAAGAATTAGTTCCTCATCATTGCTTTACCAGAGAATAGAAGACAATTATTCCTAAAATGAAAAACAGCAAATACCAGGACCACAACAGGGTTTGTTCAGAAGCACATCTCTTCTAGAGGAATTAGTCAGTCCTACAACATGCAGTTCTTTCTTCCTAAGAAGGATTATGCAAAAGAGTCTTTGTGAGTATCATTTATCTTCTCTTTGCCTATCTCTTTGTCACCAGAAATATGTTGAATCTAACATACTTACCTTCTATTTGACTGCATTATTTCCTGTCTTGATATATTAATGACTTCCTGTCAATTATACTACTTTTCTCTTTCTGAATTGCAGAGTAAAATACAAAATAACTTCCCTTGGCTTTCTACTCACTGAGACCTAATAAACCTGCTTGCCATTTCATTATCTCTGACACTAATGGAATGTTGATTTTAGAACCCAGAAATGATAAAGTGTCTCTTTAACAGATGTATAGATCTGTAGTCTAATTCTTTGATTATATTTTGTTGGCGTTCTAATAATTCCCATTGAAAGTGTTCTATAGGTTTATTAGCCTTCAAATTCCCAAAGTACATCATTCTCTGTTGCATCACAAATTGGTTGTGTATTTCAAAAGGTAAAAGTTCCCTCTGTGAGAAGAGATATTTAAGAACAAAGGCAGGAATAATCAGTAATTGTCTCTTCCATTAGGAAGTGATGTCTGCTGTGTGAGAACAGTGTTGGATTGCTAGAGAGGTGAAAGTTTTTGTCATTCTTCGTATTTATAAGGAACTGAAAGAAGGCATAAATGGAAACATATTACAACTCTTCAGGTGGGACATCAGCTGTCTCAGAATGCAATGGTTAGAATTATAGTAGAAATAGACTAATATCTGAGGACAGAATTCAATAATACAGCAGCACCTTTTATCTGTTCTCGGTAATATAGCTCTCGTTCCTTCTGATATTTAGAATTACTTTATTGGGGATATATAAAACCTTTATTAAAATACCAGTTGTCTTGAGGATGTTAATACTTGGTCTTAAATTTACATGGCATATATTAACTGAAAGAAGTGAGGGATGTTAGATGGTAATGAATCCCATCTGTTAAAGAGTCAATAGAAGAACAGAAGTACTTGATAGCAAATAAAACACAAGGCACAGTCGAAGAGGCTTCAACTCTTAACCTTAGAGACACTTAAAGGTTTCTTCTATGTCTAAAAGACAGCCTCAATGTTTGAAAGAGTGTGAAATAACCAACTGTATAATAGCGTGCAAGATGCACACTACTTAGGAATACATAGAGAGGGATTCCTGACTTACTTTTCCAACAGCAGGATTTACACACAAAAGGAATGATAAACATTGAACCAATGAATGCCTAAATAAAGAAGGAAGGAAGGGAGGAGTGAAGGAAAGAAGGAAAAAAGGAAGAGAAAGGAAGGAAGAGAAAGAAAGAAAAGATGAGGGGAATAGAAAAGCTAATTTGGATGGTGCCATTTGTAAATATTTGTGCTTCAGTTTTGCTTAGGAAACAATCTATGTGTTTGTGGGTGTGTGTGTGCATGCACATATTTGTACACACATATATGTGCCTTTGTGATGTAAAGGGCCTCTTTCATAATTCCCAATTTTGACTATACATGCAGAACCCTGTTACTAATTAATCTATTTGAGTAGAGATATACAAAAAGCAGGTATTTTGATGTTTTGAATAGATGTGCCATTATAAACATTTCCTTTGGTTTCTTGATTTGGGACTTATTCTTTTTCTCTTCCTTCTTTCCCTCTCTTCTTTTTCATTCTATCTCCCCTTACGGTTAAAGTTAGTGGGCCCTTCTTTCCCTCCTTTCTACACTCCATATTCCACAACACTATTTAAAAACAAGTGTGCCATGTAACTGAAAACCTGTGAAATATTGTTCTATATCACACTATATTATTTTTCTCTAGTTCAAGAGTCTTTAAACTTTTAAAATTTTTCATCTCAAAGATAATTTTGAGCATGCCCAAGCAACGAATATTTTATTTGTATATTTGTAAATTATATCATGATTCTATATCAACTTAAATCATCAAAAATAGAACTTCAAGGAATGGGATATAATAAAATACATATAGAAATTTTACTGTTATTGTTTTCATACCAATAAATTATAATGACATTAGGTGAGGGCATTCCCAATTTGGAGGCCACTGTACAGATAAGCCACAGATCTTAATTTCTCCAGAATGACCAGGATTCTTTTTATTTAGACCAAGTTGATGGGTTTATATTCTATAGAGAAAAAGGAAATATTTTAACTAAACACAGCTTTTTTTTTTTTTTAACTTTTTAGATCAACATTTCTAAGATATAATTTACATATAGTAAATGTACCGATTTCTGTATAGTTTAATAGTTCAACAAATTTTGACAAATAAATGGACACTTGTAACTATTGCAGTCAAGATATGGAACATTTCTGTCACCTTCAAAAGCTTTGTAATTTCTGTTTGCTGTCAATCCCTACTTCACCCCCTATTCAAATAAAAACCTGAAGAACTTAATAACTGTGGTTAAGATTTTTCTAAATCAGAAAAAGTTTCATATGCCCCATGCAAATCATAAACAAATCCAGGGCAGGGACATTCCCGAGTCCCACATGACAGAACAGTTAAGAAGAAGCACAGGACTGAAGCAGAAGAGGAGTGTGGCTTCAAGAACAAGGTGTTGACAGTTATGAAGTGAAGAATAAAAGGTAGAAAAGACTTCTTAGGTTATGGGAGAGTGATAATATAGCATAGATGTAGCATACACTGCTCTCAGTTTCAAAAGAACTATGATCTAGGTGGAAGAGATGGAAATAAATTCTCTACTCCTTGATGTTCTGTAGGCAGAGGAGATGGAGATAGAAAATAGCACAGTAGTGACAGAATTCATCCTCCTTGGTCTGACCCAGTCTCGAGATATTCAGCTCCTGGTCTTTGTGCTAGTTTTAATTTTTTACCTCATCATCCTCCCTGGAAATTTCCTCATCATCCTCACCATCAGCTCAGACTCTGGCCTCACAGCCCCCCTCTACTTCTTTCTGGGCAACTTGGCCTTCCTGGATGCATCCTACTCCTTCATTGTGGCTCCCAGGATGCTGGTGGACTTCCTCTTTGAGAAGAAGGTGATCTCCTACAGAGGCTGCATCACTCAGCTCTTTTTCTTGCACTTCCTTGGAGGCGGGGAGGGGTTACTCCTTGTTGTGATGGCCTTTGACCGCTACATGGCCATCTGTCGGCCTTTACACTATTCAACCGTCATGAACCCTAGAGCCTGTTATGTCTTGTTGTTGGCTCTGTGGCTTGGAGGCTTTGTCCACTCCATTATCCAGGTAGCCATCATCCTCCACTTGCCCTTCTGTGGCCCAAACCAACTGGATAATTTCTTCTGTGATGTGCCGCAGGTCATCAAGCTGGCCTGCACAGACACCTTTGTGGTGGAGCTCCTGATGGTCTTCAACAGTGGTCTCATGACCCTCCTGTGCTTCTTGGGGCTTTTGTCCTCCTATACAGTCATCCTCTGCCATATACATGGGTCTGCTTCTGAAGGGAAGAGCAAGGCCATGTCCACATGCACCACTCATGTCATTATTATACTTCTCATGTTTGGACCTGCCATCTTCATCTACACTCGCCCCTTCCAGGCCTTACCAGCTGACAAGGTGATTTCCTTTTTCCACACAGTGATCTTTCCTTTGATGAATCCTGTGATTTATACCCTTCGCAACCAGGAAGTGAAAGCTTCCATGAGGAGGCTATTGAGTCGGCATGTGGTGTGCTGAATGGATTTTATAATAAGATGTCAAGAAGGGGGAATTCCAGCTGCAAGTCGTTCATTCATTCAACAAATACTGTTTTTCACGGCGTGCCTCCCATTTGTCAGGTACAATTGGAGGCAATGGGGAAGAGTTATGCATAAAGAGAGAATAAACTTCGTATGTTTAAAGAACATAAAACAAACACCAGAGTGGTTGGAGTATGATGAGTAAGTGTGAGAGATCTAGGAGTTAAATTACATATGACCGTAAGAGTCAAATCACTAAGGTCTTTTACGCTCAGGTAAGGAGTTTTATTCTATTCTAATTGAAGTAAGAATTCATCTTAATATTTTAAGCAAGAGAATGACTCATCCACAACTGTTGCTTCTATGGTTTAGAGCAACATCATAAAGATTCTGGGCAGAAATCAATAAGCTGCAAAACATTATTAAAAGTCAAGTGTTACACTGCAGACCTGTTTTGAAAGAGTCTCTCTCCCTATTTTCTTTTTTTCCCCAAAATTTGGAAGACCAGATAAGAAAAGAAAATCATTGGTTTTATGGAAAATGTCATGAAATTATTTCATTTGATTTTTTTCAGAGCTTCATGAGTGCTATTAACAGGTTTTTACAATCCTCCCTGGATGTTAATCTTTGTGCTCAATTGATTTCACACTGATTATGGTAATGGTAATTATCTGGTACTGCGGATTCTGTTGGAAATTACATAAATAACTCCAGTTATTTTAAATATAATGAGGTTTAATGTGGGAAATTAGATACTTATAAAATCTTTTAAGAGGTAGAAGACCATTCTCTACGCTGGGCATCCAGAAATGATTGCCAGAAAAACACTATAAAACTAATCTTCCAAATGATCTATTCTTGCAATAATCAGGAGACTGCGAAAACAACAAACCACTTTGCCAGCTCCTGACTGAAGAAACGCATCATTTAGTCATGGTCTGGGATCAGGAGAATGATACAGAATGCCTTTATGTTATTGCCTCTCTCTCCAATTATTTTTTTTCTAAACTGAAGTGATACGTGAACACATTTGATAGTCAGAATCTGGAACCCTAGATTCAAACGTCCTAGAAGAACCTGTTATATGTTCACTCCTTCTTTGAAAAACAAAACAAAACAAGGAAAAAAAATTAGTGGTAATATGTAGGATAACAGTTTTACAGTCTTGGAGTTGAGAAAGGCCAGTGAAGTATGACATAAAAATTGAAAATGAAAAGAAAAAGTTATATTTGACATGTTAAAAAATATATGTGTAGGCACAGGTAAGAGTGATGAAAATCTGCCTACCACATATGGATGTGCAGATTATTTCCTGCACAATTATAGAAGTATGCATGGAAATTGAATTGAATATTTTCTCCCTACCCCAGAATGGTACAAGGGAGCATCCATGCATAAAGATTAAAATAAAAAAGCTGTTAACTAAGGAAATTGATATAAATGATAAAAGGTTAATTCACTTAATCTATAAAGAATTTTAATAAATGAATATGAAATAGATACATACCCAGAAGTAAATATGGGCAATTGAAATTAATAGTCAATTAACAAAGAAAGAAATAGACTTACAAATATAAAAATAATTTTATTCTCAAAAACTAACCATGAGAATAAAGACCACTGAATCTGGTTAGCTTGTAGAAGAATGTTACTCATGTAATATCAACAATAAGAAAAGTAAAAAATAAAACTTATACTTTTCTATGAGGCTATCAAAGAGTGGATAAAGCAAGGAAGCCCTATTGTATTGAGGTCCAGAGAGGGACAAGGCTTGTACAGATGAGCAGAGAGCTATGGCAGCTTCCATACCTGTGGACAAGTATCTAGTCTGGATATGGGCAGATGGAGGAGTGATCCTGCCATAGATTGAGAAATTTTGTAGAGATGAGGAAAAACAAGCTTTTAATGACACGTGGGATCTAGACAGATTAGAATCTGAAAAAGCTCCAAATACAAAAATAAATAGCTAACTCTTGTAAATTTCTTCCCCCAATCCCACTGATGCCTATACCAGTAATTTGCTCAGAAAAAGGCAAGTCGAGGAAGAAATGAAAATCAGAGAGAATTTGTACATTCTCAACTATTATTGCAGTGCTTGGATGTTGACGGCTACAGGGTTGAACCCTAAGGGAAACAAAGCTATCTGAATTGTGGCTGAAACCCCACCCAGCTCTAAATACTGACAAGATCAAAGACCTCAGTTCCTTGGTAGCAATTGGAAGATGTTGGAGATAAAACTAATCTGAGCTAAATTCAATATAATTAAAGATAATTCCAAGTCCCAGCTCACCTAGACCTTTGAAGGAATCTGAAGGATTAGATCCTCATTCTAACTTCTAGACAGAGGAAAATGATTTAACTCTCTGAAAAACTAAGCAAAATAAAATCAAATATTATTCCTCATCTTCCACTGAATTTTAATAGAAGAGTTAGGAATATAATAAAAAAAAGTAGAAGCTGTGCCACGAAAATAAAACAGGGAAGAGTATCTCATAATTCACAAACAAATATTGGTAGACAAAGACTATTAGTTGAACCGTACGATGGAATTATCAGACAAGGACTTTAGAAAACCATTATAAATATATTGAATAAATTATAAATTGATAAGGAGATGAGGATTTCAGGAGAGAAGTGAAAACTCTAAATATAAATGAATATGCTAGAACTGAAAACAACAATATTTGAAATAAAAAGAAATTCCTTAGATGAGATAAACAACATTTTGGACACTCTAGATAAACTGACTAATGATTAAGAAGATAGGTTAGTAGAAATAACCAAAACTGAAGGACAGAGAGAAAAGATTAAAAAACATGAATAGTGTTAATATACTTTGGGGCAATATCAAATAGTTAACTATATATGTAATTGAGATTCCAGAAGAGGAGGAGAGAGGGAATGGGACAGAGAAAGGGAAGAAATAACTATAAAGAATTTCCCAAATTTCATAAAAACATTAACCCAGATGTCCAGGAAACTCAGCAAAATTCAAGCGGTATAAATACAAATAAAACCATAATGTAACAGGTGCTAATCAAATGTGAAAAGAAAATCTTAAAAACAGAGGAAAAAAAGACAAGTCAGAGGAATGACAGTAGAAATGATGGTCAGCTTTTTTATCAGAAACAATGGAGACTGTGTCAATGAAATGGCATTTTTAAAGTTCTTAAAGAAAAAACCCAAACAAATTGTCAAGCTATCATTCCATATCCAGTGAAAATAAACTTCAAAAAGAAAGGTGCAGCAGAAATTTTAATATTCATAAAAGCTGAGAGAATTTATTTTCAGTAGACCTACACAAAAAATTGTACTGAAGGAAATTCTTCCTGCTGATGGGAAGATATACCAAATAGAAACTTGAATTTATGGGGAGGCGTGGAAAGATCTGGAAATGGTAAACAAGTGTATAAATATGAGAAAAAATTCTATTTTTATCTTTTCTTATTTACTTTAAAAGATAATTAACTGTTTAAATAAAAACATAATAAAAATTACTATGGGGCTTATAACATATAAAAGTAAAATATACGACAACAATAGCACAAAGGACTTAAGGGAGGATAAAAGGTTTATATTTTTGTAAAATACATTCTCCATGACATATCCTTGAATTATAATTTAAAGTGTCTGTAGTAAGTTAAAGATGAGTATTGTAATCACTAGAGCATCAATACAAAAATAATACAAGGAGGTTTAGCTAGTCTTTACAAGAGAGAAAATGGAATATTAAAAAACACTCAATTCAAAGAATGAAGGAAAGAAAGTACAAAGAAATGAGGAAGAGATGGGATGAAGAGAATACAAATACCAATGGTGGACGTGAACTCAAATATCAGCAATTATGTTAAATATAAATGGACCAAACACACTAATGTAAAGACAGAGATTTTCAGATTGCATAAACAAACAATTTTCAAGTATATACGGTTTACAAGATATCGATGTTTTTTGTGTGTGAGGAAGATCAGCCCTGAGATAACATCAGATGCCAATCCTCCTCTTTTTTGCTGAGGAAGATTGGCCCTGGGCTAACATCCATGCCCATCTTCCTCTACTTTATATAGGATGCTGCCACAGCTTGGCTTGACAAGCCATGAGACGGTGCACGCCCAGGATCCAAACCTGTGAACCCCGGGCCGCCAAAGCGGAGCACATGCACTTAATCGCTACACCACCAGGCTGGCCCCCAAGATATCAATTTTTAAATATAAAGACACAGATATATTGTAAATATAAGGGAAGAGAATGATATATTATGGGTGATGGTTAATTTTATGTGTCAACTTTACTGGCCACAGGATCTCCAGATTAAACATTATTTGTGGTATGTTGGTGAGTTTTAGTATGAGATTAACATTTAAGTTGGTGGACTCAGTAAAGTAGATTGCCCTTCCCAATGTGGATGGGCATCATTCAATCCATTGAGAGCCTGAATAGAACAAAAGGCAGAAGAAGGAAAAATTTGCCTCTTCTTTGTTGCTTCACTGAGTGACCTGGGACATTTAATCTCATCTTCTCTGGCCCTTGGACTGGAATTTATGCCCTCAGCTCCCCTGATTCTCAAGCCTTTGAACTCAGACTGAATTACACCACTGACTTTCCTGGGTCTTCATCTTTCAGATGGCAAATTGTGGGACTTTTCAGTTTCCCTAATTATGTGAGCCAATTCTTCATAATAAATCTCTTTATCTATCTACTGTCTATCTATCTATATCTATCTATCATCTATCTAATATCTATCATCTATCTCTCTATCTCTCTATGTATCTCTCTATGTATCTCTCTATGTATCTCTCTATGTATCTATCTATCTATCTATCTATCTATCTATCTATCTATCTATCATCTATCAATCCTACTAGTTCTGTTTCTCTGGAGGACTCTAAGTAATACACCATGTAAACAATCACTTCATGGCATGACTGTATTAATAATAGACAAAGTAAACTTCAAGGACCCTAGAGTTATTACTAGGTATTTAAAAAAGCATTCATA